AGTGGGCCTGGCCCAATGGGCCCCTAGTTGTTGTCAAAATGGAAGCCTTGATGAAATCGTGGACCCGTATCTGGCAGGCCAGATTGCGCCGGTGGCCTTGCAGAAGTTCGGTGAGATCGCGGAGAATTGTCTTCATGAACGTGGAAATGAACGTCCGACAATGAGGGATATCGTGCGGGCATTGGAGTATACATTGCAGCTTCAAGAAACCGAAGAAGAAAACACGAATGATAGTGACGCTATTATCACCGATGAAGGTTCAAGTGAGAATACGGTAAAATCCCAATACATATCAGTCGACAGTTAATAGTTAATTAAGAAATTTAAAAACAGTATTTCATAATAGTTACTAGGGTAATTTTTACTCAATTAATAGTAGATTAAGAAATACCTATTAGTAGATGATTTGTTAAATTTAGCCGAATGTGTGATTGGTTGTGTAAGTGATAGTGCATAAAACTATTGCTTGTTGATTGTGTGATTGGCGTCAAACTTGCTTTCCTTTGAGAACAGTGTGCTTTAACTTTTTGTCACCCAAGTTCGGGGACCGTTGTTTCCTGCAAAAACAAAATGCCCTCAAAATTAAACCAACCGAAAAACCCCAGCATGCCTGCATCATGATTCTAGAGAGGCAAAGCTACTTGATTTTCAAGGAAACTTCAAGAAAGAACTATTTATTGCTTTTAAGGACATTTGTCACATGTGTTCCACCTACATGGATAATATAATATATACTAGAAATAATACTCAATTGGGAGTATCTGATGTTGTAAAGAAATTATTTAGCCAACCTAAGAAAAAAAAATTCCTTTTAGACTGAATTTTTGTTTCTTTCTTGGCATCATGGATCTTTATGTTTTAGATTTTGAGATTCTTAAGAAAAAAATCTAATGCATCAGGTCCTTGTTAAGACCCCAAAAATGGAAAAAAAAGGATTGAGTGGACGCAAGCCTAACTCTACTTGAGCCCTTATAAACAAACCCAACAGTTCATTTAGACAATAAGACCCAAAAATGTTTATTACCATACAAATATGCCCTAAGAGATTGTTTTTGTCCAATAGAACCTCTCGGGACTAAATAAAATTCAAATTGGAGCTAATTTGAACACCAATTGAAATAATGGGCTTCATTTGAAATTAATAGAAATATAAGGATTTAAATGAATCCAGTGACATATAAGGTCAAAATTGTACCTTAGAAAAAAATTCCAGTAGCACCTGGCCTCTTGGGCCAACTGGTAGGTGCACCATTCCCTCAAGTCAAGGTCTTGAGTGTGATTCCCCACTCCCTCAAACATTGTAAAGGTTATAAAAAAAAAAAAATTCCAAGGACTGATCTAGACGCTATTCCTTCCCTTCAAAAACAAGTGAGAGATTATTCTATAACTGGGACCAACTAACAAATCAGTAACATATATTTCAAAACAAGTGCAACAACTTACATTCATTAACTTTGCTAATATATATGTCAACAACAACTATGCTGCAGTCAGTGGCAGGCCCCCCTGAAATTTGCAAATCTTTGTAAATTAACATATGAAAAATTATTTTGTCCCCCCTGAAATTTAAAAATTTTGTAAATTAATACATAAAAAATCATCTCGTCCCCCTGAAAACAAATTCTGGCTCCGCCCCTGGCTGCAGTCTGCATCAACAACAAGATTACCAAAAACTCAACCAGCAAAAACACAGCAGATTAAAGGCAGTAATGAATAAAGCAACAATATAGATGACTCAAACCCAGAAAGGTAGAAACAATACTTTACCTGTACTTAAATGCACAAAGACCCTCAATTAAAGAAGAAAGCAAAGGAAAAATGGGAAGTCAAGCAAACCATACACCTCAACATGAGCAGAAGCAAGGTTTTGGAAAGTGAAAGGCAGCATACTGAC